GATGACAATAAGCCACGGTTAGAAAACAGTGCTACCCGAGTAAGTAGCTAGATGTACCCAAACTTCTGCAAAAGGCAACTAGATAAAGGCCTATTTACACTCGGCTCTAAGACCGTCATATCTCACGGAACTGATGAAATTTCGCAACTGTAAACACTTCCTCATGTCCGTCACATTGCACGTGACTGACTTGTGGCGTATAACCAAATACCCGGACATTGTCCGAAAGTTAGGTCCGTCAAGTTTATGGTCGTCAAAGTTTGGCTTCGTCCGTCAAAATTTTGAAATATATAGAACTGGTTCTATTTTTCAAAGTTGACGGACATCAAGATCTGTACTTTTCGCGCAAGGTTTTTGACGGACATGCTATCCTAGTATAAATAGAAAGCCGCTTTGTACACGACCGTGATCTAAGGTGGATCTAGCACCGTTTTTTGTCACGGCCACCTTTTTTCTCGTACATTCTGGTGGACGTCCATAAAACACAATTTTGACGGACGTAGAAAAAAACGTGACTGAAGTGAAGTATACATAGGCCTTAAGTCTCGTAGCACTGCCGCCGTTTCAAGTGTATTTGAGATAGATACAGCTGCTAAAAGATGACGAGCGGCTAAAGAAACAAAGTTCTATATTTCAGAGGAAACAAATTTTTTAACCAACATACGTGTATTAGGAAACTGTGGTGTGTAAAAGTAGCAAAGTACGGCACCAATGTACTTTATACGGCTTGTAATAATTATGAAATCAGTTGTACTTGTATATTGCAGTTGCGTATGACAGCTCAGAGTACTATGCTTTCCATACACGTTGTATTCGCGCATTAGCTAGAGCGCTGCTAAAGGCTTCCTGGAGAATTCACTCTTGTGGCCAACTGGAGATGTCTTCCTAACCAACATTTGCCTTTGGTTAATTGCTAGTTTCTTCACGAAATTTTACACACGCGGTTGTATGCATGGTCGTATTGTGCTTTACAACAAGTTTTGGAAATCCATGGAAAACACTATTCGTTGCAACATGGAAAACACTACCAACTTCAGTGGACATCCGGTTGCAGGCAATCTAAGTCGATCGGATGATGACAATGTTTCTCTTTCCGTTCAACTAATGAACAATGCTGCCTTCCAGCTGCCGTTCTTTGTCATCGACATTACAGCGTTTACGCTCAACTTGCTTCTGTGTGTAACATTCCTCTTTAAAGTTACCCCCAAGACACCATTTGACTTGTACTTCACAAGTCTGCTTGCTGCTAACGTGATCTTTTATGGAGTAGACAGTCCAGCATCGGGGATTCTGTCTTACCATCCTAAATTTCCAATTGGACCTGTTGGCTGCATTGCGTTCATGTCCAATGTCTATGTCTACACGGTAATGCAAACTGTCAATCATGCCAATATCGCTCTACACCGCATCTGGGCCATTGTCGCACCGGTGACCTTTCGCCGATGTCAGACATTTCGCTTCGTTGGATGTCTACTGGCAATTATTTGGTTTGTACCGCAGATTGTTGGATATCCTTGTGCGGTGCTGAGCGTCATCTCCCGCAACGTCCACTGGTTGGACGAATGTTTTAATTATCAAGCAACACATTCGGTAACTGAGGAAATCGCGGAAGTCATACAAAGAAGTGTGGTTGTACTATGTTTTATCGTTACCATCGTAGCGCTTTTCTTGATTATTTGGAAATTACGGCAGCGGTTCAAAAGCCGTGAAACGTTAGTACGGCCAAATGCAAAGGGAACAACTGCAGACGGGCAAGCAAAACGCTTAGAGAACGACGCTAACACGGTCACGGGAGCCTTAGCTGTCAGCATCCTACTCTTCTGGGGACCATATATTACGATTAACTTTATCTTACAGCGTGCGTTTAGAATATATGATGTACGTGCACAATCAGCGGTGGCTTATCTGTTCAGCTGTCAGGCCATTGCGGACCCAGTGTTGGTGTTTTTAACTGTCCCGAAGTGGCGATTGGCCGGCATTAATATGTTTACAAGACGGAGGGTGGTCTGAAATGGACCTACAGAGATCTGTCCAGAAAATCAGCGATAAAACTATCATAAAAACGAACGCCTCATCATCATTACCTCTGGTTATAGAATCGGTTGAGTTGATTCCTTGATCACACTGTTATTAAAGTAGATCAGGTCGGTTCCTGATGGCCTATCCATTTTTACTCTTAAAGATGAGGAACGACAATGTGCAATGTTGCAATGTCGCACTGATAAGGAAACATTGCTACTGGGTAGGTGGTTGTCCAAATGTCACGCAAAAATTGGCTGCTTACAGTGTAGGTGTCGCACTTGCTTGTGATTTAGATAAGTATGGATGGAATCTTGCTTTTAGTAGTAAAATTACCAATCAACAGAACCAGTTGCTGTAAAGCAAACATTTAAAAACGCTTTATATTCTGTAGAATGTTGTATTGCTTCGACAGCTGCTGCATGGTTAGTAAACGATAGGTTACCTGAACGTGCCGCTGAATTTGACCCTGACGTTCATTTTATGAGTTGCGTTCGGCGTGCAGTAAGCTCTTAGCAAAATATAACGTCGCACATGCACAATGCATAGTTGTCTTTAAAATATTTTGTGGTCAAAACAGATAAAACTCGGAATAAAAGCTTTGCATAAAATGAGGCTTCCGTGGGGTTGTAAACGACAGACCGTGGATATGCTGTAGAAATGAATAACTCCTCTTTAGATTCTACCAGTGATATTATCGGAGCTGTGAACCGATCCTATGATTGCAATACTACTTCAGGCGCAGAATTCTTAAAAAATCCTCTATTACAGTTTACCTATTTGCTTTTCGATGCAGCATCGTTGATCCTGAACTCTTATCTTTGCTGCAATTTCATCATTTACATCAAGCCCAAAACACCATTTGACTTGTATTTCTTTAGTCTACTCTGTGCTAATATATGGCTCAGTGGATTAGAAATTGCGTTTGGCGTGATTATCTTCTGGCTGCCGAAATTTCCTGTTGGCACTTTCGGGTGCATCGTCTACATGGCTACCATCTATGCCTTTACCACGTTGCAAACTGTAAGCCACGCCAATATTGCTGTCAACCGTATTTGGGCGATTCTTGCACCCGTGACCTTTCGCCATTTCCAAACCTTCCGCGGCGTTTGTTATGTTCTTGCTGGGGTCTGGTTTGTGTCTATCGCTATCGGATTGTCATGCGCTGTGCTAAATGTACTTTCTCGGCAAGTTAGTCAAATGTACAAGTGTTATAACCTTAAAGCGGCGAACTCGTTAACCGAGGAAATTGCGGCAACTACGCAAAAAGCTATAATCTTGGTGTGCTTTGCGTTTACCCTTGTGTCGGCCATGCTCATCGTCTGGAAGTTACACAAACGTTATTCGCAGAAACGACAGACGTTGTCTGATGGAGTGTCAGCAGAAGATAGAAAAGCAAAGCTGATGGAAAACGAAGCTAATATTGTTATGGTCGTTTTGGTAATTAGCGTTATCGTTTGTTGGGGACCGTATGCAGTGTACTTCACTTTTCAGTACGTTTTTGGGCTGTATGATGTGGATGTGCAATTTGCGCTTGGCGAGTTATTCAACTGCCAGGGGATAGTGGATCCAGTTCTGTTGTTTTTTGCGATGCCAAAGTGGCGGAAGGCTGGCAGGATCACATGTTCGTCGTCGCCGAAGTGACATCCCTCCGTTATGCTGTGATGCTCTGGCGTGCCATGATACTGCGCTCGTACAATACATATAGATTGCACAGATTGTAAGCTTTCTGTAGAATAGTGTATAGTATATACGGCCTGTTTCGCACGGTCTATGGGAAATCTGTAACCAAAATGTTACACGCCTGTGATTGGCACAAGTTAGGGGTCTGGACGGGTGTGGTTTACGGTATGCCTGTTAATACGGGCATACTGCATAGCCGTCGCTAGAATACTAGACCTACTGGTTGGGCTAATAGCCTAATAATTATATAAGTATTCCACGTGGTTTGTATCCAGTTCCCGTTTATCCCGATTGTTTCCCTTTCCCATCCAGGCCTGACGGAGCTATTTCCGTAGGAAATGTCACGTTAGTGTTTTTCGGTAGCCGTCGGTAGAAAGCAGCTCCTTGTTATTGACCAGCTCTGGCCTTCGCAGTGTGACTTTAGTTGTGTACATTAAGCATTAATCGCATTTAAGCGATTAAACAGGATATTGTGTCCGGTTTAGTCTCCTTTTGAAGAAGCGGTAGTGTCGAGGCGGAAGTCCCACATTCCAGCTTTTGGTGGGAGTTTACGTCATGTGGTCTATGGAAGCAGGCAGCATTCTTGAAAACAACTCGAATATTCCAAGCTCCTTCTCTTTGACTGCGGTCAATTGGTTTTTTGTCTGTAATATTTGAGGCTTACTGCGTGAGCGGGTGATGTGCAATAGTATAAAGTAGGTATAAACTGAGTACAGTTTATGCATAAATTGTAACGAACGTATGATACGGGACTATCAAAGTGAACGAATCAATTCTTACAACGATCAATCAATTGAAAGAATCAAGCCTTTTGTACCGTTAACATCCTGACCAAACGCTTACTACAGATAGTTCTGTTTTTGATTTTAAAAAATAAGCTTATTCTGTCGAACTGGGCAACAATTAGTAAAAGCGTGTTAAGCAATCTCGCTCATGAATCCCTCACAAGCAATACTCGGTACATTTATTATGGTACTCGGCTCACGGCTGGTACCAGCCTCTACCAGTAAGTTGTGCACATAATTATGTAACCCGCGCTGCGTGTCATTGTTACTACTACAGAGTGGATTAGTTTTTTCAAAATTTTTTGTGTGATCTTGAAAAGTCGTTGACAGCCAATCTATTTTTTTGCCGATTTTTTTTGTCTTGGGAAATGATTGACTGCCAATCTGGTAAACTGATCGCTGTTACGTAAAAGCCACTTTTTTATCAGCCGCACTGCACCACAAGTTGCGGACCTAGCTTTTAGTGTTATGAACATTATGTAAAAATTAACGAAAAACGTATTAGCTGAAAACTGTTAATTTTCCATCAATTAAAGCGTGATTATGACAGCTATAAACCCTTTTGTCTTCATAGCGCTGACATTAGGCACTGGTGCAACGAATGGATATGAACAAGCAGGAAGCAATCCGCCCATTTACGGGCATTCTCGCCAAGATTATGGACCTCCATACAAAGTCGAAGAGAGCCCGGCGTTTCTTTACAATCAGTACAAGCAGCAATACGCTCCTCCATATTCAACAGGTGGGAATAACGGAATCCTATTCCAAAACAATTCCAGGTAAAAAACTTCCTTCTAGGGCACATTAGCGTTCTCTGTGCCCAGTTACTTATACTTAATTAACAACGGCAAATCCGGATATCCGGTGACTCTCTTTTGACTGAAAGTTTTACAAATAAAAGCGTTACACATATTAAGAGCAGTTATTTTATGGACAGGTACTCTGAATATCCAGCGAGTTACCATCAGAAAGGAATAAATTATTTGGATTCTAGCGGTCGCGATAGTCGTAAATACCAAACGCAGCCGTACCAACCAGAAATTCCAAACTATCCTAAACCTGCGCCATCAGAGGTCATCGGCCCCAGATGCTTTCCCGATTATCCCAAAAAGAACGCACATATTGCCGGGTTCTGTCTTGCACGAAGTGCTATTGATGTGTGCCGAAAAGCCAATCTGACAATCTCCGTTTCAAGAGACTGTAATAACTTTCAATATGGTGATGCTGTATGCTGCCATGGTAAGTCAAAAACCACCGTTCGTTAAATAAACCAGCGCTTGCATTATCTGCTGCTGCATTATTTTGTTCATACACACATTTCATGCAGCCAAGCAAACCTCATCCTGCGGCAGAAATGATACGTTGTCGGCAACGTATCTCAGTTCCCATTCTGCTTGTGTGCAAGAAATGCAATGCGGAATTGCCAACATCGACCCCAAAATATTTGCGCCATTAGAAAAACCACCGAAGTTCCCCCCGAGAAATAGATCCAGAGATTCCTCACAGTCGGCAGTACAGCTGTTCGCAAAGCAACAGGAAGCTTTCAAAGCTTACCTGAGTTTCTTAGGTGGCCTATCGACGGTACAGGGCAGAATTGTGGGCGGCTTTGAAGCTCCCAACGGAAGTGCATCACTTTGCTGGCAGGTATCCACAGTGTTGTGTTTTCTTGTCGGTTTTCGTAATCTATACTGAGACGAATCCCTTTAATTTCCAGGTATCGGTTCGGGTCCGATCGCCCAATATCGATGCAGGTCTCTGCGGTGGGGTCATCATCGGAGCACAGACAATCGTCACCGCTGCCCATTGTGTGACCATCCCAAAAAATATTACCGCTGACGGAGGTTATAATGCGTCTGATGTCACCTGGACCGTTAATATTGGCACCCAGGCGGTTTCGTCGGCTCCGAATCGAACCTATTTCTATTCGTCGGTCGTCGAGAACTGCTCCCGCGAGTATGCTGTCCGTGAGGCCATTCCCCACCCCGATTACGACCCGCAAACATTCAACCATGACGTCGCGGTGTTAATTCTGTCCGAACCTATCGATTTTCGTCTGCACAGTGCTTGTGCTTGTAAAATGTGTTTAACACCGAAAATCCAGCAACCAGGAGACAGATGCGTGGTATCCGGATTTGGGATGGAATCCATGTTCGACACAAATGCTGCCGGTAGTAAGTGTTGACAAACGTTTGAACTGTCAATAATCAAAATGCATAATTAAGTTACTTATTTTTTGCAAGTTATACAAGGCTGAAAATGATGACCGCAAATCATGTTATCGCCACAGTTCGCCTATAATTTTTTGGAGAAAGCTGCGCACACCACGTTTTACCACCAAAGTCTCCGCGCACCACCTTTCACCACCACCAGGCTGCGCACACCACTGTTCGCACCATGTTTTGTCTCGGGCCACCATTTTTGAGCACCACCATATATATTTAAAAATATCGCCAGTCTCGGGACACCACCTTATACTCGTAGTTTCGGAAACATACAGCGCTCGGTCGTATATACGACTAATATGAGCTATGTTGTATTTTTCGTGTGTGTACAGCAGGTAGTACTTTACTTAAAATACGTTGTATCTAAATCACAATGTTTTGGGTTTCAATATAGCGCAACGCAAATCTTTACTATACAGTACAGCATGCGTAATGCAAGTAAGTAAGCACAGAAAGTTCTTAAGTAAGCACAGCAAAAAGTAAGTACATAAGCACTTCTTAAGTAGGTAAGCACAGCAGAAAACATGTGGTTGCGGCAAGCAACCATCCACAAACAAAAACAACTTGCGTTCGGCAAGTTTGTAAAACCGAAAAATTTGCTACTAGAACGGAAGCGGAGGCAAACGAGTGGTACCAAAAAACTGAAAAAAGAGAAGCCAGATCGTGAGACGAAAGAGCTGTCTTTTTCTCCCCCCGTAACAACAATTAATTATTTTTGTTTTAAATAGTGGTGTGCAGAGACTGTGGTGATGTGCACTCTGCCCTTGGTGGTGTCCGAAGATTTTAGTAGTTTTTGTAAAAAAATTAAAAAATAATAAAAAGTGGTGTGCGGAGCCTGGCGGTGGTGTTTCGTGGTGTGCGAAGACTTTGGTGGTGAAACGTGGTGTGCGGAGCCTTCCCCTAATTTTTTTATAACATTACGATGGTGAATCGGACCGATCGATAACTATCCTGTTTATTAGATTACACAACTCCGGACCCACCGCGCTCTTATGTCCCTTTGAAGTACGTTCAGCAAATTATCGCTCCCAAAGAAGCGTGTCTCGGAGTGGATTCTGAGTTGCAAACTGACTTCGGGCTTGTTCTTTGCGCTGGGGGCGTTACCGGCGAAGGGATATGTTTTGGTGAAAGCGGGGGGCCTCTGACGTGCTATGATCACAAAACCGGCACCCAGTACCTGGCGGGAATCGTGTCGGCTCTCAGCGGATGTGGATTTGGTAAACCCAGCCTGTACAGTGGTGTCGCTCCGAATTTACCATGGATCTTCAATACGGCTCCTCTTGGTGATGTCTCTATCATGATTTGAAGAAAAACGCGATAACCCTTTATCCATCCAATGAACTGGAAAATGGGACGCGAAATTAGATTCTCCAGGTGCATTGTATATATTTCCTGGCATTATGTATATCGCACAGAAAATATCAAGCCGAGCGATCCAATCAGTTCAGTTTTTGTAAATTCTGATGACCCGTTTCTTCAGAATGTATAAAAGGAAAACCGTGTGACTGTGCTGCTGTAGTATCGATGCTAATCCCTATTTTGTAATACTGCTTGCTATATCGATGTTAATACAAATTTTGTATTTAGGTACAAAGTTGGTACTAATGTAAAATGCTTTGCAGATTCACTATTATGAGTAAGCGTACTGTACTGTTATAATTAGTACTTAAAAGTACGCCGCCGACTGTAGCAGGTCGGATTATAACTAAACTACAATATTGTACAAAACCTACAAAACGTTTTTCGTTGTTATTCGAGATGTTAAAAAAACTACAGCGCTATGACGCTCAGGGGTGACTATTGATCATTCATTCTGGCAGTGACAAAAGAGCAAACGATGTCATTCATGTACTTGTACGTCAAGCCATGACATTTGCAATTGTTTGACGCATGAACTGTTTTGGAGCAGTTGCACGTGTCAATCAGGTAAGGCGTAAAGGCCGAAACATGGCATGAAAAATCAAATGACTGTCATGTTTTACGGTAGAAATTTGTCACACAGACACAGTTACAATTATTTTTTCTATACCGCTACCGTTAAATTAGGTCGTTGCTTGTTTCTGTCTTTTCTTCCATATATAAAATTAAACTAACGTTGTTGCAGTTGTTTGCAATTTCGAATTGATAGCATGGACTATCTGTATTACGCTGCATCTAATAAAACATGGAATGCCAACTCTTCATACGACTACATGACAATCCCCGATTCAGGCGGTGTTGACATAATGTACGTTGTTTTAAAGATTGCTGCGATTATTTTGAATTGTGGGTTATGTCTAATGTTTTGCTTACAAAAACTGGCCAAAGCGCCGTTTGATTACTATGTCCTTAATCTTTTGGTGACTAATATCTTTCTTCACGGGACTACCATTCCTTTCGCCGTTATTCTGAAACTCAAAATGCACGATTTCTTTCGTGTGGGCACAGCCGGCTGCGTAGTCTTTTTGTACGGAATTTACGTTTATACCATCGCGGTAACCATCAACCATGGTGTGATTACTTTAAACCGCAACTTTACGATTGCGGCTCCCATGGCCTTTCGAAAGTTCCACACCGTACGACGTGTCTGCTGCATAATTTTGCTGACATGGCTGGCATCAAATGCTATTGGCTTACCATGTGCGCTATTTAGTGTACTTTCCCGCCAAGTCGAGGAGGCGGACAAATGTTTCAATGAGCAGGCTGCTGCATCGCTCACTGAAAAAGTCGTGGATATTATACAAGAGACTAGCCTGCTCCTGTGCTTTGTGATCACATCCTTATCTATACCGGTATTAATTTACAAACTAAAGGGACGCTTCGTTCGAAGAGGAAAAATTGATTTACCATTGAAAGTACGTTCCTGCGAAGAGAATGGAAGCTCATCGCAAACGCCGGTTGATGTATACATGACAGTTTTGGCCTTCAGCATAATAATTTGTTGGGGTCCATACGCTGTATACTTCGGCTTTCAGAATGCCTTTGAATACAACAATTTTACGGCGCAAATGGTGGTAAGAATATTGTACAACTGCCAGGGAATTTTGGATCCATTACTGTTATGCGTCACGATGCCCAAATGGAGAACGATTAACAGCAACTGCACGAAAGAAATTCGAAAGAGCCATTTATGCAAATTCGAAACTGACGCTAGCTGAGCCAGCGATAACCTATTGCGTCAATTGACCGGCGTTTTTTGGAAAGAAAAGTTTTAATTTCGTTGCCAAAGTTTGACTTACAACGAAGAAGTAGTTATTTACTAATGATGCCGATACAGCAATTTAACGCACTATTGTTTTTAATTTTAATTGTTATACCGTGTTACGCATCATTCCGGAATCCTACGCTTTCCTTTTTTACCTACCCAACGTATCCTTTCTTTTCACCCTGTACACAAGTGCCTTTATCGTGTATAAACAGTTTAACTCAACCTTCTTGTCCAAATGTTGAACAAATTCATCAAACGTTTGACACAATTCAAACACGGCGGCAAACCGAAAAGCATCTATTTCATCCTGTAAGGTCTATTTCTCACAGTCGTGATGTCAATTTTCCTTTCTATGTACAATGAAATGTGAGCCGGCACTCTAAAGATATGGGTACAATACACAACAATATGCAGTAAACCAAAGAAATAGCCAAGATTCACAGGATACCATCTGTGTTGGGCAATGTCAATACCATTAACAAAGCCTTGATTTTTGCAAAAACATCAGAGCTTCATTCGCCAACGCGACCTGCAAAATCTTTGGTAGATCAAATTCCAAAAACATTTTCATAACTTTTGCAAAAGCAACGGTTTATATGATTTTCAGATTTTTGAAAATGGATAATACCTCCGCTTTGCTGATTTTCATAGTAGAAACAAGCCTGAATATTTCGTCAAATATTACTCCTGTGGCAGTTTTGAAATCAGTAGTGGCCAGTTCGATTACATTTGCTGTCAGTGATATCACCATCTTTTCATTGAACCTGCCTTTATTTGTTATTTTCGTTGTGCGAGTTAAGGAAAAGACACCGTTTGACCTGTATTTCATCAGCCTATTAGCGGCCAATATCCTCCTCCATGGATTTACCATTCCGTTTTCTTTCACTTCCACATTTAATCCGCAATTCAAGCTGGGTATAGCGGGCTGTATCGTTTACGTATATGCTATCTTCACCTTCACAATAATTCAAATGGCAATTCATGCGTCCATCGCGGTCAACCGTATTTGGGCAATGGTGGCACCGATGACCTTTCGACGTTTCCATAATAAGCAAACAGTGATTTGGGTGATGTTTGTTCTATGGATAATTCCAAACCTTGTTGGACTGGCATGCGCCTGCGTCAGCGTATTGTCGAGGAACGAGGCCGAAATTGAAAACTGCCTGATTATGCAAGCTGCTAGCGCTCTGACTGATAACGGAGCGGATATTGCGCAAAAGGTTGTGCTGCTACTCTGTTTTACAATTGCCTCCATTTCCATACCCGTGATTATTTGGAAGTTAAGGAAAAGGTCAATCGGGAAAGCGGCCTTAATTACATCCCAAGCTGTCTCGTTGGCGGAAAGAACGGAACAGTTACAAGAAACCCAAGCCAATATTCTTATGATGGTTTTAGGTTTTAGCATAATTGTTTGCTGGGGACCTTATGTCGTGTACTTTACATTTCAAAGCGCAGTCGGTTATCATAATCCGATAGCACAGATAGTTGTAATCGTTCTGTTTAATTGTCAAGCTGTTGCCGATCCTGTCCTCATACTTTTCGCGCTACCGAAGTGGAGAAAGGCTGTGTTAACTATTTTCCATTTATGCGCTCATTAAACCCCTCTGTTGATCCCCAAAATGAGAACAATAGTGACAGTTATTTCACGACGTTTACGACGTGAAAATGTCTATTATCCCGTGTCAAGTTGTCAAAATTCCGAGGTAATTATTATGTACACTAAACATTCATTGTAGTTATTTTTTGAATGAGCAGTTTAATAAAAAAATGTGCGGCTGATGGCTTGGTATAACTTCCAAACCAGTAACCTAAACTAACTGAACCAGTTTTAGTCACTTGTGCGTGATTTCGTTAGATGATTTTGCATTTTGCCGACGTGCCACGTCTGCATGTGATCGCTCATTAAAACACAACGTCAGGACATGGGATCGGTTAAAAAATAGTCAACATTTATACAAAGGTATATGATGGTGGATCTAGAAAGAATCCACGGACAGAGACAGAAACGGAATCTATCCTGCAGAGTGAGCAGTGTTGTATACTACGAGCTATGCGGAAACGCAAGACACCCGACAATCAACTGCACACTTTTATATCCCATTCATATAGCACTACAGATGCTCCCGCAGCAGATGCTGCGGGGCCAAAAGTACAGCAAGTTACTCAGACGACGATGGCTAGCAACTGAAGAATCTACCAGATCGAAGAGCTGGTAGATGGAGAAAATCACTAGCAAAAACAGCAAAACAACTTAGCACCCGCACCTGTGCGGGCGTACGGGAGGCCACTCCTCCTCACATGCCTGCGGGTGGAACCCGTGAGGTCCTCCGAGCGTATCGCGCGGCGTCGCGAACTCCCCTCCACGTCTTCCCGGGTTGAAGTCATGGGTGGCCGCTGGGGCTGTAAACCTCCGCTCACCAGTCCACATAGCCGATGCGCATCCTTCACACTGCAGACACGGCCTCGTGCCTGCGGTACTGGAAAAACTGACACATACACTTTCGTTTCACTTTTTTCGCACCTTCGCTTCGGATTCGTTTCATTTCTGTATCCTCTGACGTCACCGGTGCCTGCGGTACTGGAAAGACGTCACATACGGCTTGCTTCACATCGGTTTACGGTACACTTCGGTTCGGCTCGGTTCACGGTTCGCTTCGGTTTTGGATCCAGTCCGCTCTGACCTCTTTAACCTTGTCTGGGTCGACGCACTGGCTGCGACGAAATTTACGACTGCGACGACGTCCAACCCGGAACTGGGCAAATTCCAATTTTCTTCAGTCGGAAAAGGTCACGTTCTGAGAAAAATCGGGCAGGGGTTTGGGGCACTGGTACACTGGTGACCCTGCAAACACCAAAATACGCTTCTTCAGTGGGGAAATTCCGCTGCACCCGTCCAGGAAAGGTCGTCATCCCAGGAAAATCGGGCAGGGGTTTGGGGCAAATTGACACTGGTGACCCTGCGGAGCAGCTCATTGCATCGTCTGTGGTGGCAGGGTACACGTGGGCTTCGGTGGCTGGCAGTCCTTTAGCTGCTGTGGACTGGAGCTGGCGTAGTCGTCGCTGGCTGGTTGCTGACATTCTTGTTCCATCTTCTTTTCGCGATCCATCTTCTTTTCGCGATGACGGCATCCGTATAGCCGTTCTTCTTGTTCCATCTTCTTTCGCGATCCATCTTCTTTTCGCGATGACGGCATCCGTATAGCCGTTCCCTTTTGCTGCTGCGGTATCCTTATAACCGCTTAAACGATTAATGGTCCCAATGGATAAACGACACGCTCTGCTACCATATGATGGTGGATCTAGAAAGAATCCACGGACAGAGACAGAAACGGAATCTATCCTGCAGAGT